TGAAGTGCAACGAGGAAATTGCAAAAATATGGGCAGAAGAAACGGTTAAAGGTTCCACCAGGTACAGCAGCAATTTCAAGAATTTTAAAGCAGAATAGCTGAGTGTATAAAGTTTCATCAATGGCAGGCAGCAAACAGCTGTGTGTCCTGCCAGCAACAGAGGAGCCAGGAGCTCCGGAGTGTATTTATATGATGCAGCTTGCCATGAACTGATGATTCAGCAGCAATTTTTCATGAGGAGGAAACTGTGATTGTTAACTGAGGTATGATGGCTGTCCTCTTTAAAAGCGAAGAACAGGCTGGGCTGAAGCCAGACCAAGTTTGCCTTCTGGGCCTTCCTTCCTTCTGTCTTCCATTTCCGTAACCCCCTCCAGCCAGCTAGCATTTCCTCTTCGGCACCATCATATTTCCTCGGAACCTCCCCTTTGCCACCTGCATCTAGACCTGCTCTATCCTATACCTCTCCACAGCCCCATAAACGATCCCCAAATCATCTCCCTCCCTAGCTCCTTCATTCATTCATATTTAGGATATTCAGCTGTTCAGAAAAGGAAGTGGTTAGGGGATCCAGTTAATACACATCCATGTATTAAATGACAGATAGCTAGGTGGGCATTTCTCAAATGAGGGTCCAAAGGCATAATCCTAGAGATTTGAGAGGTCTATGGGCATTTAGATAATAGCTAGTATTTATTGCATGCTTGTCATGTATCAGGTGCTGTTTGAAATACTTTATATGTATTAATTTGGTTTCACTATAACATTACAAAGCAGATGTCCTTATCTCTATTTAACAGGTGAGCAAACTGAACATGTTCTTATTCCCATTAAACAGATGGGCAACCACAGAAAGGTTGATCAGCTCAAGGTTACACACCTAATAAATGACAGCATAAAAGACTCAAATCCAGGCAGTCTGGGTCTACAGCTAGTGCTTTCGACCCCAATGCTGCCATCTGGGGCTCAATTGAGCCTGGATGGTCCAAGACGGTGTCATGCATGTCTGGCAGTTAGCTGGGGCTGTTGGCTGGGGCCTCCTCCTCCATTTGGTCTTTCCAGCAGGATATGTCAGACTTCTTTATACAGCAGCTGGATTCCAAAAGGTAAATGTCTTCGAGGCGATTTTCCCATGTGGAAAATTACCTTGATGCAATGGCAGCCTCCATGTGTATACCTACAAGTCATGAAACAGATAGGCTTATAGGCCAAATTAAGAAGCTTAGATCACATTGTTTATCTGGCGGTTCTAAAACATATCCTCAAATGTTTTGACATTACTCCTATTAAGATGTGGGGTCTATATCCCTTCCCTTGAATGTGGGCTGGCCCTAGGGGTTGGCCTGTAGCCAGCAGAATACAGTGGAAGTGATACTGTGACTTCCAAGGATAGGTCAGAAAAGGCCACAAGCCTGGTTCTTTTCAGACATTCACTCCGGGAAAGCCAGCTGCCTGGTGAGAAGTTCACCAAGCTGGAGTGGCTGTGTGAAGGTGCTCTGCTTCTCAGCCCCATTTGAGCTAGCAGCCAGCCATGTGAGCGAGCCATCTTAGCTATTAAGCCCAGCTGAACTTTCAAATGACAGCAGTTGTGTTGAAATCTGATTGGTAACTACATAAACGACTCCAATAAAATAACTGTCCAAGTAAGTTCTTCCCAAATTTCTGAGCCTCAAAATTAACAGCAAAATAAATTGGCTACTTAAACTACTAAGTTTTGGCATAAATGTGTTTACCCAAAGAGCAGCAGTAATAACCAGAAGAGTTTACCAACCAACATAAAACAGAGTGAGAAGCAAGGGGAAAGAGGGTAGATTAATAAGCTTAGGATAGGCTGAAGGACCACAGCACCTAAATTCTGTTTTATGCATTGTTCTCATGTCTTATCCCTCTCCACCATCCAGTCTTCTCAGCACATAGTGTGGTTACAAGGACCAGATTGGAGAGTAAGTAAGGTGACTCAGCAGACTGAAGGGGCCTGGGTTCGACATACACTGTTCTGTTAGAGAGCTGAGGGGCAAGTGTGTCTGGTTATAATGGTAACTGGCATTAGTTGGCTTTGTAGCTAGGGGTTTATCTGCTTTTCTTGGGCAGAGATTACATGAGGCCATAATAGCGCCACAATGGGTGTTACCAGTAGGTGTGCAATTTAGGGATGACATGGCTGTCAATCTGAAGGTAGTATGTTCTGTACCTTATTAATACTTAAAAGTCCACTTTGTCTTTCTGCCTCTATCTAAAGCAGCATTTTCATTTGTTTCATCCTTTTTATCTACGTTCAACACATATCCATTCATTCTATGTGTAACATTTCTCATAAGTGACTTGCTTCTACATTTTAGTTTCTCTTGTTTTATAATAGAATTAAATATTCTATAATAATATAACAAAAGCATTACAACAACCCCCAATGAGCAAACATGTGTCATATCAGGTTTATGATGTCCTCCTATTTATTGACCAAAACAAGTCAAATAGCCAAGCCCACAGTCAATGTAGAGGTGGACTACACAACGGAGTGGATAACAGAAGGTGTAATTCATTGGGGATCACTACTGTAACAATCTAATACTAACACATAGCTAGGAGATGGTTGATCCAGGGATCAAACTTTCCACAGTCTGTCTCCGGAGTCTACACACTAAACTGCTATTCTGGAGGTGGTTGGGAATGGGTTCTTACTGAAGAGCTTCCTACAAACCTCGCTTCCCAGGCCCCGCCCCAGTGAATCAGAATATCTTGAGGGTAGGGAAATTGTGGGGGATGGGGGGTTTCTCCCATGAGCCTGAGACTGAAATAAGTCTGCAGAGGATTCCAGTGCACACTGGGGAACGAAGGGGATTTCAAAGACAAAGAAGATATACTTTCTGCACTCAAAAAGCTTTCATTTCCACAGAGAGTATTCTTAATTATTGTTATTACATCACAGAGGCATCACCTTGGAATTTTAAAAAAGAAGCGATTGCTTTCCATGTTTAAGTGACATCAGTGGTTCTCAAGCTTTCGTGTGTGTTAGTAACTGGAGGGCTTGTAAAAACCCACATGACTGGGTCCAATGCCTACGTTCTGATTCAGGAGGTGTGAAGTGGGGTCCACTATTTCTCATATCTAAGAAGCTCAGGGACACACTTTGAGAACCAGAGTCAGAGAAGTAGGAGGCTTTAGTGGTAACAATCCTCCATTATTCAGCTTAATATTCTACTTACACGTAGCACATTTACTACATACAAGTTTCTGGGCTGAGTGCAGCACTGTTTATGATAAGGATGGGATTTAGATCTTGATTACGCTTGAGCAGATTTATTAAGTGGATTTATTCTCTAAGGGTGCCTAAGCGTCATTAGACAGGTTCAGATAAAGCAGAGATCTCCTCCCTTAGGAATAGATTACGGACAGCTTAATGAAGTAGGAGACCTTTAACCTGGGCCTTGAAAGATGCCTAGGACTTCGACCAGGGGAAATCGTGGACAATCAAAGAATTCTTCCCGCTTTAGCACGGAGACAAAAAAATCACAAGCAACCGCTAGGAAAGGTCTATGACATTCTTGCCTCTGCCTCTAGCATTAACAATTTGCACGCCAGCTTCTAGAATCTGAACGCGGAGGACTGTTCTCGTGTCAAGGGTTCAGTGTCAGACCCTCCTTGGGCAGGAGTGGAACTGGCCTCGCTCTCTCTTTGGGGCGCCCAGAGCGGGTGCATCAGAGC